TGGATTCCATTGTTAGCTCCTATTGATGTTTGCATATGAATTCATTTTTAAGTTTGTAATTTTATTTTGTTTATGTGACAATCAGTGTGTCAATAGAGATTGTTCATATACTAATCAAAAGTTCACTGAAATTTCTACTCATCTTTGTCCATACATCAATTACGTTGATTATACACAAAAGATCAGCTTTTGTTGTTGTTGTTGTTGATTGAACTCATATTCAATGTAAACATTGATAATTGACATTTGAGTAAATCATTTATGATTTGTTTAAATTTTGTATAAATAACACAATATTCACAATGTTGTATGAACAATAGTGAAACTTATACAAGATAATAAGTAAGTATCAGTATTCATTTTCATTGAATATATATATTATGAATAGATCTTGGTGGGGTTTTGTTCTCTGAGTTGAATGGTTTGATCTACTTGAAGTTTGTGCTGATGATTCCGTTTTGAAGAACGATGACAGCTCCATGACCAAACCATCCAACTCAGAGAATAAAACTCCATAAAAAGTCATCTAACTGAGCTACAAATGTCCACCATGAACAGATCTTTTCAAATGGAATGATCCATATTCTATGAAATTTTAATCTTTATACAAAGATATATGTAGCATCTTTGTTAAAATGTTTATATATTTATTTATTTTGAATAGTCGAGTGGTATTGTGCTTTAGGGTGTTTAATCAAATTGATAAATTTACTACATTTAATAAGAAAAGAGATGTTGTTGAATGTTATTTGTTAATTTCATGTAAAGCGATAATATTTAACGTTCGATTACTGACTTAGTTACTTACTTACTTACCAGCTTACGCCTGTTACTCCCAGTGGAGCATAGACCGTCGACCAACATTCTCCAATCCACTCTGTCCTGGGCCTTCTTTTCTAGTTCTGTCCAATTGTTGTTCATCCTTCTCATGTCTATCTCCCTTTCTCGGCGTAATTTGTTATTTGGTCTTGAGGATTATAAGTGAGGGCTTGCCATGTGACGCAGTCGGGTGCTTTCTTTAATGTGTACCCTATCCACTTCCAGTGCTTCTTGCTGATTTCTTCATCCGCTGGGATCTGGTTTGTTCCCTCCCACAGTAGGCTGATAGTGTTTGACCAACACATCAGAAGTGTTTTACGTAGTCAACTGTTAATAATCACTTGTATCTATTGGATGATGGCTTTCGTAGTTCTCCAAGTATCTACCGCATACAGTAGAACTGTGTTGACATTTGTATTGAAAATTGTGACTTCGTTGTTGGTTGACAGTTGTTTTGATTTCCAGATTTTCTTCAGTTGTGAATATACTGCTCTTGCTATAAAATGTGCTTGACTTAAATTTCATTTTAGCTATTCATTAAAATATCCGGAAATGGATGAGTTTAATTATGTTACAACTTTGGTTACTAAGTTTTACTAGTGTGAGATATTACTTGTAAGCTGTTCACTATGAGACTCATCTTTTCTATGTAAGAGATTTTTCATTACATAATGATTGTTTAATAACAAGTCCCATCATTACCCATCTCTAGATACTAATTGAATTCTATAAATAGAATAACGATGTGATAAAAAAGCTAAATCACCCATTATCACATAGATTATGTTTATGATAATGGGGTTGTGGAGATTATCAAGTTTTTGATTGAGATCATGAACCGACTGATGTTAGACCATCACTCATAACCTGGAAGCACGGGACTCCTCAGAATTGCACATTCACGATCCCGTCCCGTGAGATTTTAACCGAAGACCCACCAGTCTCGTACGCGAACGCTTAACCTCTAGACCACTGAGCCGGTCGGCATCCAACGGTGTTAATGTCTAACTTCAACTAATTCACAAAATTAAGCCAACGTTCAATATTGTTTTCAATGAGTTACTATCTCACAACATACTCTGTTGAACTCCACTCTTCATTGCTTCTCACTAGAACTCTAGGAAATATCTCTTGAAGCCAGCAATTAGGAAGAAAACGGTCGTCCAGTGCTTTCAGGTTTTCCATGGTGGTTTAACTTCAATGGATATAATTATGACTTACATAATGATCAATGTTAAATATGTCACTTTGTTAATGAGATAAATGTGAATATGATGTTTTTTTTACATTGATTAAGATTTAGATTTTAACTCAGTAAACTTGAGTAATGAAATATCTGTTCATACGTATTAATATCAGAAAGGGGGTTTTGTGGATATTATAGTTATTTTAAATACTTGAGATCATTAGTAGTCAATTGAAGGTAGATCACCATGGAAAACCTGAAAGCATTGGATTAGTTTATCCCCTCTCCTCCCCCCCAAAAAAACAACAAACAAACAAACAAATAGAATCTGTATTCATTGACTATTAAGATTCACTTTGTGTTCATAAGTTTGAATTACATAAAATTTATTGTTGAATACTGTAATGTATTCATTAAATAATTGAATCAATTCCCATCATCCCCTTTTTATATATTTGATATTAGAAAAGAATTTCTAAAGTTACTTAAACTGTTACTACTTGCACCTAATATTAGTTTATATATATGGTGTTGGTCAGCCCTAATGGGTTGGTATCGGACGAAATCTCTGCACGGATTCGAAAAGCTCGTTTGGCTTTTGCCAACTTACATCACCTTTGGAGAAGGCGAGATATCCATCTATCAATAAAAGGACGAGTATACTGCGCGGCAGTCCGTTCTGTTTTAATTTACGGCAGCGAAACATGGCCATTAAGAGTAGAAGACACTCGTAAGCTACTAGTATTTGACCACAGATGCCTTAGAAATATTGCTGGCGTCTGCTGGGATGATCGAGTAAGTAATAGTGAGGTTAGACGCAGGGTATTAGGGAATGATGGTAAATCAGTTGATGAGGTTATGAATCTTCATCGACTGAGATGGTTGGGCCACGTGTTACGTATGCCTGAACACCGATTACCACGACGTGCAATGCTGTCCGGTATTGGAGATGGTTGGAAGAAAGTTAGGGGCGGTCAAACCAAAACGTGGCATCAGTGCTTGAAGTCAGTAACTCCTACCCTGAGCCATGTTGGTAGATGCAGACTACTTGGTTGGGGTCCACTAGACTATCGTAACCAATGGTTGAAGACTGTGTGTGACATGGCTCAGAATCGATCACAATGACGTCGGTGTATGCACTCCCTGTCTTCCCTTAAACTAGGAGATTAAAATTGCATTATATCTTTCTTTCTACGGACTAATTCTTTCTTCCTGTACTATATCTTTATTGCAATCTTTCTCTTATATATTACCACCTTTGACATAACCACTGCTATGAATCCGGTGTTTATCTTGTTGTGCTGATGCGGTATGGCAACCTGGACCGATGCACATATGTGCCTGGTCGTACGTTGTAGCTGACTGACTGACTGACTGACTGACTGACTGACTGACTGATATGGTGTTGGTATACAAGATACAGTGACTCCAAGTGTCAAAATTCATATTGTGATTTTTTTAAATTTATCAAGAATATCTTGTTACTGGTCTTTTGTTTTTGGTGCAACATTGTTGTAATATGTCAGTTTACTGAACAAGTCTTAATAGAAATACGACTGGTTATGATGTATGCTACTGATATCATCAGACCTAAGTAGTATAGTAGTGGATAAGAACACAAGTGGGGATACTTAAACAAACAGCTTTGTAAAATGTGAGAACCATATAGCATATAGTTAATTTGCAAAATATTAATCCATTGTCAAAAACTTTACTGTTTTTTTGCAAGTATCAGCCTATCGTCTCAGATTCCATTAGTCTTGAATTTTTATACCAATTGCTTTCCGTTTCCGTTCTTTCCTTCTCGATCTTCTACTGAAATACATTCTATTTGTGCCTATCGTTATATACTACTTATATGAATATAAGTAGCTCACACCATCAATCGAAAGTGAAATGTCTGACGACAGGAAACTTGAGAAAATCGAACAGAAGAGAATGAAAACATATATTGATTAGTATAGAAACGAAGAAACAACAAAGTTTGAGATAATTGATAGATATTTTATAAATGAAGTATTTACTATATAGTTACCAAAATATTCTATAATTGATAATATACAATTATACCCACGTTTGTTCTGATTCACTACAAAGTAATTATTTCTATGGTATATGGAAATGAAATATTTATAGAAATATATTTATGATTGAACTCGTCGTCCATAGATCTCTCATAACAAATTTATGAGCTATAATAATAATAACAGCAGTGGAATATAGTCACGCGATATCAGAAATTAATTAGAAGTTATATGCGTCATTATACTCGGCCTCAGTAGCAGTAGTAGTAGTAGTCGTAATCTTAGTCGTAGTAGTAATAGCCACAGTTCAAATAAGTATTCAAAGGAGTTCTAATAAAGAGTCAATTTAGTTAAAGTAGATTAAATAGTGGTTGGAAGTAGTCGACTGGATACTCTGGATCCGAATTTCGTGCTACTTGGTACTCATCAGCAAGATATACCAGTAAACTTGAGGGAACTGATGCTCCCTGGTGGATTACGATGCCGTATCATCCAGTTTCACAGTCACAGACGTTATCATCCAGTGATCAATCAATTGTGATAGTTAAACTAGATTAACTATATCAAATATGATATAATAACCTATTATAAACAAACAAAAAAGATTTTCAAGTTATATCATTAATTTTAACATTGAAAGCTTACATAAATAATAGAAGATTTTAAGTTGCTCTTTTAAAAATTGTAAATTATCAAAACTATAAAGTAAAGTCTAATGCTATAAGATCTATACAATAACATATAAGATTGAACTAAAAGTAATTCATTATATAGAATTTGATTATTATTACTATTTGATTAATCTATTATAACATGAATACCTTATCACTTCTATATATGTATGTCTATATAACTTTTCTGTAGTTCAATAGAATAGAGACAAACAATTAATTCTATATTATATCAAAGAGAAGAAAATGAATCTATTTAACATACTTTTATTAATCATAACACAATGTTATGTATTCGAAATGAAACCCTATCAATACGATAATGAGAAACAAATAAGAATGATTAACAAAAGAACATTGAATGGTAAGAATTTAATCGATTCCGTGAAAATACAAACATATTAAGACGAAAGACAACAATTTTAAAGAAAGGAAGACAAAAAACTAGCAAAATGAAAAAAACAACACGAGAAATGCTATAATACAATATCAACATCTGCAAAAGTATATTACTATATAAACAAGAACGTCAGATTTCACACAATACAAACGAATATTACGCGGTCGGTCTGTCTGTCTCTCTCTCTCTCTCTGTCTGTCTGACAGGCTATCCGCCTCACTGTCTTTCTGTCTGTTCGTCTGTTCGTCCACCGTCTGTGTTTCCACCTGACAAACTGTCTGACACACATTGTCTCTCTCTGCACATTCACACTTGACAATTTCACAATCACACAATATTCATTGATCACTCGACACGCACAAGTCAATCTCATTTGATCACTTTCATTGTCGACTGGAATATTCATGTGTGCATTGACCACTTGACTCACGGTTTTCAATCAATCACCTTGTAGATGAGAATCCAGGTGACCACATAGATGAAGTACCCCAGGAAGATAATGATCGTGGTAAGTGTCACATAAATCATTTGCATCAATCTATACTGATATTGTTTTGACTATCTGACACACGTGTGAACCATCAGTCCGCTACAACTACACACGAACACTCTATTTCTCTAACACACTCACACAGACACACACACACATTGCGAAACACAATCACTCACATTCACTGACTCACTCACTAGATTACTCAATTATTAACACAATCACTCACTCAACCACTTCATATCACCTCTATTCTACACATACACACCCATCAAACATCACACATTAAACACATATCACTATCAAATCAATCATTGCTTCAATCACATTCCTCCACATATAACACATTCCCTCTCCAACTAAACATGTAGCCATAGATATATCTATATACATATATATATATATATATATATATATATATATATATATATATATATATATATATATATCTATGTAGACATATTTATATTTAAATCTACATGAATCCACGACATTCCCTCTTCTCACATCACCATCGCTCACAATCTCCTTCTCCATTCACAACAACGTCGGTCGTCACACAATATTGCCGATTACTACTCGGTCGGTCTGTCTGTCTCTCTCTCTCTCTCTTTCTCTCTCTCTCTCTGTCTGACAGGCTATCCGCCTCACTGTCTTTCTGTCTATTCGTCTGTTCGTCCACCGTCTGTGTTTCCACCTGACAAACTGTCTGACACACATTGTCTCTCTCTGCACATTCACACTTGACAATTTCACAATCACACAATATTCATTGATCACTCGACACGCACAAGTCAATCTCATTTGATCACTTTCATTGTCGACTGGAATATTCATGTGTGCATTGACCACTTGACTCACGGTTTTCAATCAATCACCTTGTAGATGAGAATCCAGGTGACCACATAGATGAAGTACCCCAGGAAGATAATGATCGTGGTAAGTGTCACATAAATCATTTGCATCAATCTATACTGATATTGTTTTGACTATCTGACACACGTGTGAACCATCAGTCCGCTACAACTACACACGAACACTCTATTTCTCTAACACACTCACACAGACACACACACACATTGCGAAACACAATCACTCACATTCACTGACTCACTCACTAGATTACTCAATTATTAACACAATCACTCACTCAACCACTTCATATCACCTCTATTCTACACATACACACCCATCAAACATCACACATTAAACACATATCACTATCAAATCAATCATTGCTTCAATCACATTCCTCCACATATAACACATTCCCTCTCCAACTAAACATGTAGCCATAGATATATCTATATACATATAAATACATATATATATATATATATATATATATCTATGTAGACATATTTATATTTAAATCTACATGAATCCACGACATTCCCTCTTCTCACATCACCATCGCTCACAATCTCCTTCTCCATTCACAACAACGTCGGTCGTCACACAATATTGCCGATTACTACTCGGTCGGTCTGTCTGTCTGTCTCTCTCTCTCTTTCTCTCTCTCTCTCTCTCTGTCTGACAGGCTATCCGCCTCACTGTCTTTCTGTCTGTTCGTCTGTTCGTCCACCGTCTGTGTTTCCACCTGACAAACTGTCTGACACACATTGTCTCTCTCTGCACATTCACACTTGACAATTTCACAATCACACAATATTCATTGATCACTCGACACGCACAAGTCAATCTCATTTGATCACTTTCATTGTCGACTGGAATATTCATGTGTGCATTGACCACTTGACTCACGGTTTTCAATCAATCACCTTGTAGATGAGAATCCAGGTGACCACATAGATGAAGTACCCCAGGAAGATAATGATCGTGGTAAGTGTCACATAAATCATTTGCATCAATCTATACTGATATTGTTTTGACTATCTGACACACGTGTGAACCATCAGTCCGCTACAACTACACACGAACACTCTATTTCTCTAACACACTCACACAGACACACACACACATTGCGAAACACAATCACTCACATTCACTGACTCACTCACTAGATTACTCAATTATTAACACAATCACTCACTCAACCACTTCATATCACCTCTATTCTACACATACACACCCATCAAACATCACACATTAAACACATATCACTATCAAATCAATCATTGCTTCAATCACATTCCTCCACATATAACACATTCCCTCTCCAACTAAACATGTAGCCATAGATATATCTATATACATATAAATACATATATATATATATATATATATATATATATATATATATATATCTATGTAGACATATTTATATTTAAATCTACATGAATCCACGACATTCCCTCTTCTCACATCACCATCGCTCACAATCTCCTTCTCCATTCACAACAACGTCGGTCGTCACACAATATTGCCGATTACTACTCGGTCGGTCTGTCTGTCTGTCTCTCTCTCTTTCTCTCTCTCTCTCTCTCTCTGTCTGACAGGCTATCCGCCTCACTGTCTTTCTGTCTGTTCGTCTGTTCGTCCACCGTCTGTGTTTCCACCTGACAAACTGTCTGACACACATTGTCTCTCTCTGCACATTCACACTTGACAATTTCACAATCACACAATATTCATTGATCACTCGACACGCACAAGTCAATCTCATTTGATCACTTTCATTGTCGACTGGAATATTCATGTGTGCATTGACCACTTGACTCACGGTTTTCAATCAATCACCTTGTAGATGAGAATCCAGGTGACCACATAGATGAAGTACCCCAGGAAGATAATGATCGTGGTAAGTGTCACATAAATCATTTGCATCAATCTATACTGATATTGTTTTGACTATCTGACACACGTGTGAACCATCAGTCCGCTACAACTACACACGAACACTCTATTTCTCTAACACACTCACACAGACACACACACACATTGCGAAACACAATCACTCACATTCACTGACTCACTCACTAGATTACTCAATTATTAACACAATCACTCACTCAACCACTTCATATCACCTCTATTCTACACATACACACCCATCAAACATCACACATTAAACACATATCACTATCAAATCAATCATTGCTTCAATCACATTCCTCCACATATAACACATTCCCTCTCCAACTAAACATGTAGCCATAGATATATCTATATACATATAAATACATATATATATATATATATATATATATATCTATGTAGACATATTTATATTTAAATCTACATGAATCCACGACATTCCCTCTTCTCACATCACCATCGCTCACAATCTCCTTCTCCATTCACAACAACGTCGGTCGTCACACAATATTGCCGATTACTACTCGGTCGGTCTGTCTGTCTGTCTCTCTCTCTCTCTCTCTGTCTGACAGGCTATCCGCCTCACTGTCTTTCTGTCTGTTCGTCTGTTCGTCCACCGTCTGTGTTTCCACCTGACAAACTGTCTGACACACATTGTCTCTCTCTGCACATTCACACTTGACAATTTCACAATCACACAATATTCATTGATCACTCGACACGCACAAGTCAATCTCATTTGATCACTTTCATTGTCGACTGGAATATTCATGTGTGCATTGACCACTTGACTCACGGTTTTCAATCAATCACCTTGTAGATGAGAATCCAGGTGACCACATAGATGAAGTACCCCAGGAAGATAATGATCGTGGTAAGTGTCACATAAATCATTTGCATCAATCTATACTGATATTGTTTTGACTATCTGACACACGTGTGAACCATCAGTCCGCTACAACTACACACGAACACTCTATTTCTCTAACACACTCACACAGACACACACACACATTGCGAAACACAATCACTCACATTCACTGACTCACTCACTAGATTACTCAATTATTAACACAATCACTCACTCAACCACTTCATATCACCTCTATTCTACACATACACACCCATCAAACATCACACATTAAACACATATCACTATCAAATCAATCATTGCTTCAATCACATTCCTCCACATATAACACATTCCCTCTCCAACTAAACATGTAGCCATAGATATATCTATATACATATAAATACATATATATATATATATATATATCTATGTAGACATATTTATATTTAAATCTACATGAATCCACGACATTCCCTCTTCTCACATCACCATCGCTCACAATCTCCTTCTCCATTCACAACAACGTCGGTCGTCACACAATATTGCCGATTACTACTCGGTCGGTCTGTCTGTCTGTCTCTCTCTCTCTCTCTCTGTCTGACAGGCTATCCGCCTCACTGTCTTTCTGTCTGTTCGTCTGTTCGTCCACCGTCTGTGTTTCCACCTGACAAACTGTCTGACACACATTGTCTCTCTCTGCACATTCACACTTGACAATTTCACAATCACACAATATTCATTGATCACTCGACACGCACAAGTCAATCTCATTTGATCACTTTCATTGTCGACTGGAATATTCATGTGTGCATTGACCACTTGACTCACGGTTTTCAATCAATCACCTTGTAGATGAGAATCCAGGTGACCACATAGATGAAGTACCCCAGGAAGATAATGATCGTGGTAAGTGTCACATAAATCATTTGCATCAATCTATACTGATATTGTTTTGACTATCTGACACACGTGTGAACCATCAGTCCGCTACAACTACACACGAACACTCTATTTCTCTAACACACTCACACAGACACACACACACATTGCGAAACACAATCACTCACATTCACTGACTCACTCACTAGATTACTCAATTATTAACACAATCACTCACTCAACCACTTCATATCACCTCTATTCTACACATACACACCCATCAAACATCACACATTAAACACATATCACTATCAAATCAATCATTGCTTCAATCACATTCCTCCACATATAACACATTCCCTCTCCAACTAAACATGTAGCCATAGATATATCTATATACATATAAATACATATATATATATATATATATATCTATGTAGACATATTTATATTTAAATCTACATGAATCCACGACATTC